TGTGTGTGTGGTCTGTGTCTGTGGTGTGTGTGTGGTCTGTGTCTGTGTGTCTGTGTCTGTGCATATGTTGTGTCTGTGTGTCTGTGGTGTGTGTGTGTCTGTGTATGTGTTGTATATGTGTGTATGTGTTGTGTATGTCTGTGTTATATGTGTGTGTGTATGTGTTTTCCTGAGTCTTCCACTTGGAAAAAAAAATGTACTCTAGTCAAGGACAGTGTTTTTTGGTTTTGTCTTATGTGCTTGTGCTTCTGAGACAATTGTTCAAACAAAGAATTCTACATTCTAACATTGATACAGTGCCAGAGAGGATTCTGGGCACAGAATAAGTACTTAGCATGAGGGCATTACTAAGGCTATCCTTGGAATTGCCTTGGGACTTGGAATGGATTTGTAAATTTGTTCCTCTCTAAATCTGAGGGATACTGGCAAGTGGCCTCCCAGGTGCCCAGGCACTTCCCAAATTCACCTTGCTTGCCAGTTCAGGAAGATGAGAGACACTTCCTCTCTCTCCATGAGCGGCATGGAGCTGAGGGAAAGCAGCACACAGGTGCAGCAGGCAGGCTGGGGAGGGGAGTAAGGCCTGACTCTTACCGCAGGCCGTGTAGAGAGGGCTGCACTTGGTGGAGGGGACCCAGAGGTTGGCCGAACCTGTGTCAAAGATCACTTTGAAGGTCTGGGGTGGGGTGCCGATGCCGATCTCACCATAGTACTGAGTCTGCAGGGGTGGGAGGAAAGTGAGGACCCAGGACTCAGGGGCCTTGCCTGGTCCCCCGCTTGGCTCTTGGTGGTCCATCTTGCTAAGATGTGAGGGCTCTGCAGTCCCAGGATCCCGGAGAGTCACTGGGGCAGGAAAGCCTAATAAAGCAGTTCAAGTAGCTGGGCATGATGCCACTGCTTTTGATCCCAGCACCTGGGCCACAGAGCTGAGTAAATCTCTGTGGAGGTCAGGATAGTCTACACAGTGAGTTCCAGGGCAGCCAGGGCTACACGGTGAGACCCTTTCTCTAAAACAAAACAAGGGAGGGAGGGTGGGCTGGGAGGAGGTGGGGGAGGGGCTACAATTGGGATGTAAAGTGAAAAGTTATAAAAAATAAATTTAAATTTAAAAAAGAAAGAAAAAAACACTAAACAAGCATCAATAGGAGAGAACTAATAATATTAGAGAAAATTTTGATCAAGAAAAACAAAACAAAACAACAACATCCTTCTTGGCTATAAATAGGAATTCTGTACAGTACTCAGGAGCTCTTTGGCTCTCAGTCAAGCATGGTGTGGAAAGAGTGGGCCCTGCTAGTCCCAGAGAGAAAGGGAAATGGCAGCTGAACTAGGCACTCACATCCAGGTAGTTGGTGAGGACCACGGGGGAGGTACCATTGCCAAAGGAAGCCTTCTTGGTGAACTTGCTCCATTCAGCACTGAGCCTGGTCATCTCCACTCCCCGATCCTTCAGGATTTCCCGCACGGAGGGCATTTTCTTGAGCAAGATTCTGCTCCAGGGTAGAGGAAGAAAAACAGAAGAGTCATGTGGTTCCCCAACACCAGCAGAATCTAGACTCCTTGCTTTTGGTCTGTTTATCACTAACCTTTCCTGTGCACCTCAGAATCACTTCTTGTGCCCTGACATTTCTGAAGAAAAATGTACAAGCCTCTTGGGGTCACTTATTCTGGTACTAACTTCCCAAGTCCCTCCCTTATCATTTTAGTTAGATAAGGCAATTTGTCAATCCATTGATCCACCCATCCATCCACCCATCCATCCATCCATCCATCCATCCATCCTTCCATCCTTCCATCCTTCCATAGATCCATCTGTCGTTGTCATCATCATGATGATGTATTGAATGCTTACTCTGTGCCTCACTGTTCTGGATAGGGACATAAAGGTCATTAGGGCCTCTCGCAGTATCCTGATTGACAAGAGAGGCAGTACCACGTGTGGCCTATAGATGGCGGCAGATGCCCAGAGCAGTCTGCAGGGACTTAGGGACCCCTGGGGTATCACAGACCCTGATGGTTTGCATCCACAGGACCCAGCCTGATTCACGTAGGGCAGTGTCTGTAGATTGTCCCTGTGCGTCATCTGGGAAACGATGTGTCTTGGGCCTGAATCCTAGGCCCTTCACCTCACATCAGCTGTCCTTGTAGGAACAGCAAGCAGCCCACTGAGCTGCTCCTGGCTGCAGCGGCACGCACCCTTATACAAACCACAGACAGCTAGCTCCCTGTTTTCCAGTTGAGACATTGAAGGTTCATGGGGTGAAGATGACTCAGAAATGCCAAACAGAGACAGTCCGTGCTCTGTCTGGCTGTCTTTCCTACTCAGGGCTGCCAGGGCCAGACAGGCGTGAAGATTGTTTTGCAGTCGTAGGAAGATGCCTCGAGCCCTGGGCCAGGAACCTCTGGAACAAGGCCACCTCAGTGTCAGTTGGCTTTCCCAGACATGCAGAGAGGTATTCTTCTCCTCCAGCGTAAGCCCTAACCTTCCTTCTGTCACTCTGTGCCCTCACCTCCCTGCTCTGCCCATATTTCACACCTATCTGTGTAATCTCCAGCAAAAATGACTTATAGGTCCATCACAGTTTACTCTTCAAAAGTATTTTCACACTTATGTATTTGATCCTGGCCATCCCACCAGACAGCTGCTTTATTTTCCCACTCTAATGGGGAGGAAAAGGAATATAGATCCAAGCAAGGTCTCTTCCCCATCATTTCCTGAAAAATCCCATGCTTTGCTGGACTTTATGGCCTTACTTTTTTAGAAAGCCCTTCTGTGGTGTGGTGGTGTAGGCCTTTAATTCCAGCACCCTGGAGGCAAAGAAAGGCGGCTCTCGGTGAATTGGAGGCCAGTCTGGTCTGTAGAGCAAATTCTAGGCTCCACAGTAAGACCCTGTCTCCTCAAAACAAACAAACAAACAAACAAACAAACAAAAAACAAGAAAGAAAGAAAAACTCCTAATTCCTTTCCTAGATCTTCAGTCCTTCAAGACATGACCAGAGCTCATACCTAGATGCCCACCCCAAGGATGCCAGCCCATGTGACATTCTGTGAAGTTCTGAGCATCCTCTAACTTATCCAGACTCTGGCACCTTGATGGTTGTCATGCTAGGGCTAAGCGGGCTGCTTTCAGCTTGGAGGCTGGACTTTGTGTACACCTAAGGCAATGACCCTGAGAAGAAAGCCCATTGCTCAGGCCCTCAGGGTGACTTAGACAATACTTTCCACAGAGCAGGTGGCATAGAGCCTGACTCTGTCAGCCCTCTTGCTGATTCCATTCTTCCTGCCACATGCTTTGGTTTTCTTAGGCCTTTCTCCTGGGGTGGGATTCTGGGGAGCACCATCTTCTTATCACACTACAAACATGTGCTGAGGTCTGAGGATGCAATTTAGGATCAAAATGACTAATCAAATCTTAAGCACTAAATAGATTCACAGCTCTTATTGCCAGGAATCCTCCTCCTCTCAGTCCCCAGATGCTGGCTGTTTCTGGGTGAGCCTCCTCCTAGCCTTGCCTGTTCCCTGCTCCTGTCTCACACCCACAGGCCTGGAACTGCACTGAACGAATATTTCATCCTCCCTGCATGGAGCTGCCAGGAGCCTTTCCTTTCCTATGCTCGGTGGTAATCCGTGCTGTGGCCACAGCTTCTTACAGCATGCCCAGCATGGCACTCAGGGCTTTACATGTGTCCTCTCATCAAATCTTCAAAGCAGCCGGGCGAGGCAGGCTCTTTAGGATCCTGTTTTAAAGCAGCGCACTGAAACTTGGTGGGATCAGCTTGCTGCTGGAATAAACTGTATCTGCTGCTAGGGGAGAAGAATTTAACCTAGAAAAATCTACAGGACCCACATCTGACCTCTTCACCATTCTCCTTTCCCCAGAGAGTTAACTCGCCTGAGTCCTCCTCGGTCATTGCATTGTGAGCTTAAGGCCCAGGAATGTGTCTTAATCATCTGAGTTGCCCATCCTCTGGATGAGAATCTAGAGACAACCCTTCCAAGCTTAATTAGTTATGGCTGTGTGGCACTGGGCAAGTCACTCAAATTCTCAGAGCAGGGCTATGCATCCGTGGCTGACTGGCAGAGAGGACTGGGTGACGAATCATAACCTGAAAGCTGAGAAATGCCGATAAGATACCGGTCCCTGTACCCTGCCACCCCTTCTCTGCCCAAGTTACCGTCCAAAGGTAGCTGTGTCTGTCGGGAGACTGAAGGTACAAGAGCCCCCGAGTGCCAACAAGAGTGCCAAGAGAGGCATCCTCCTCCCGTCCATCTGGTTCAGCCAGGGCTTTCTCAGAGCTGTGTAGCCCCAGAGCCCCTGACCCTTCTTTTATACGCAGCCACGGGTTCTACTCTGATTTATTACCTCAGGGCTCCTGGCAGGGCAGCCCTCATAAATCCTACCCCGTGAGACCAAGCTAGGTAGGTGAGGGATATGCAGGACCCAGATGCAAAGCAGAGTGGCTGGGGGTTTTGGAGTTGGGGGCGGGGGGAGCATGGCTGAGCCGAGTGACACCGAAGGCCCTGTTTGGCCTGGCTGATGAGGAACTGTGCTGCTCAAGCATGGTCAGGGTACAGAGAGCACAGATCCTGGGCTTCCACTCCCCCTGCCCCCGAGCCCACTGCCTATGCTCTTGAGGCTGTGCCCTCTATAGTAACCTTTGCGCTAACCCTGGCTGGATCTTCCTAGGTCCTGCAACCAGTCTTTCATCTTGATCATGGGTGATTCCATTTGGTTACTGCTTAGTGGAAAAAGGAACATCCCATCTAACCTTTGGCATCAGGGAGAGTGTGGGGTGTCCCCTCCTGGGGTTAGCAATGGTGGAGGGAAGGGTAGCTCTCAAGGACTGGGGTGGGGGTGTCTCCAGGGCGGCTGGTTTCCAGCTTATCCCCTCCTACTCCCTTAGATCTCTCTCTACCTCCTTCCTTCCAGCCTGTACCCTCAGTCCCAGGCTGGCAGTGCCTGTTCTCCCTAAGGTGCCCTCTTTGCTGTTCTCCCTGCTTATTTCAGGGGCCACTTCAAATAGCCCATCAATTCCACGAGGTCTACCCTGACGGGTCTGTACCATCTTCTGTTGTGACCTCTCATCCTTGAGAGGTATGACCTCCAGCGTGTGACCTCCATCCCTTTGCAGGCAACTTATGTAAGTGCTCCTGCCTCTTGGCCATACTGGAGTTTTCCTCTTATCAAACGAAAAACAAAACAAAAAACTAGTGACTGGCAATGAGCACCAGAGAGCCCTAGGTTCTACTATGAACTTGCTGTGTGACATTGAAGTTGGACCCCTCTCTTCCCTTCTCTGGGACCCTGTGAGGCAGCTGAGTGGCCCTCAGGGGCAGTCCTGGCTCAGACGAACCAACATTCTAAGTGTGTGTCATGAGTGCAAGACCAGGACTCCAGCTCCAGTAGACCAGCATGGAGGAGCAATCTGCTGAAGAGGCCACAATGGAGTAACCGGATAGGTAACTGCTCTTTGTTTTTTCAACACAGGGTTATTTTGTATAGTTCTGGCTGTCCTGGAACTTGCTAAATTCCAGGCTGGCCTCAAATTCACAGAGATCCACTTGCTTCTGCCTCCTGAGTGCAGGGATTAAAGGTGTGCTCTACCACCTGGCTTTTTTTTTTTTTTTTAATTGTTTGTATGTCTATGAGAGGGTGCCAGATCTTGTGAGCTGCCACGTGGGTGCTTGGAATTGAACCCAGGTCCTCTGGAAGAGCAGCCAGTACTCTTAACTGTTGAGCCATCTCTCCAGCATGGGACTGCTCTTTAAGGCACTGCCCTTGCTTTTAGAGACAAAGATTTTCACTGGCCTGATGTTTACAGTGTAGGCTGTCTGGCCAGCAAGACTCAGAGATCAAGCTTGCCTCTGCCTTAGTGCTGGAATTCCAGATTTGTGCTACAATGTGTTTTGTTTGTTTGTTTGTTTTTTAATGTGGGTTCTGCAGCTCAAACTCATCTCTTTGCACTTGAACAGCAAGCAAGCGTTTTACTGAACTCTCTCCCTAGCCGCTGGTGGAAGCTTTTCATGATTCAGAGCAGTGTCATCCAGACAGAGAGGGGCTGAAGTGGGAGGGGCTATGGTGTGAAGGTTCCCTGCCCACTTGAATATACACACTGATAAAAATAAATATCTATTATGATTCTTAACAGAATATGTGGGTTTTTTTGTTTTGTTTTGGTTTTAGTTTTTTTTTTTTTTTTGTTTTTTTGTTTTTTTGTTTTTGAGACAGGGTCTCACTATGTAGCCCTGAAACTCCATATGTAGACCAGGCTAGCCTTTAACTCACAGAGATCCACCTGCCTTCTGAGGCCTTCTGAGCGCTGAGATTGAAGGTGTGTGCCACTGCACCCTAAGGTGACTTCAAACAGTAACTCAAAATGACCGAGAAGAGATGGAGGCAATAGATAAACCTATCCCACCTGTCTTCTCATGATGTCTTGATGAAAGAGGGAGGCCAGGCTAATTAGTCCACACTGGAATGGATAACCCTTGGCATGGGTGATGGAGCAGGAAGACGGCTGTGTGAGAGTAGCTGCTTTGCTTGGTTTGAGAGCTAACGGACTTTCTTGCCCCAGAGGCTGTTACTGCCTGCAGTGGGAAGGCAGTGACTTGTGCAGAGAGTGGAGGCACAGGGAAAACAGCTAATATCGAAGGCTTTGAGATGATTATGAGGAGAGGGAAATCAGAGGATTGCTGAGGCTGAAGATGTTTGGTGGCTAGAGCCCAAAGCTTTACAGGAAGCCAGCCTGCCCTCTTCCCACTACCCAGGCCTATTGTCCAGGGGACATGACTGCTGTTAGCATCTTTATCGAAACAGCTGTGGCTACCAGCAAGAGACACTCAAGATTGAGCCTACTGGCATTCCTTCACAGAAAGGGGGTGGGCTCACTAGACCCTCACCTGAGATTCCAGCTGTCTCTTCCTGGGCCTCCTTCCCAGGTGTGCCCTGCCCAAGCTGCAGGTTGTGTGGTCTCTGGAGGCGCTGGAGTGCAGACATGGAAGGTGAACTGAAGGGGATGCCTGCCTGTGCAGCTCTGGGGAAGCCACCATCTGTGCTGGGCTGAGACCGTTCGATGGTGTGGCTGCTTTGGGATCGCGTGTGCTCTGTAAGAAATCCTAATAAACCCACTGGCTCACCAGACTGGAGGGGATCGTACTTCAGGAAGTTGGTAGCTTATCTGGGGTGAGTCGATGTTTGTTTGGGAATGCCCAGGAAAAGATCATGCCACCGTTCCCAGCTGCTTAGATACAGACAGAGCAAAAATCTGGCTGGCTTTTCCAGTGAGGTCATCCAGTGATAAGGAACAAAGGAATTTAGGATCTTATAGCAAAATTAAAAAGAAAGGTTTGAGACTGAACTCACTGTGTAGCCCAGTCTGTCCTCAAAGTCATGCTCATTCTGTCTTAGCTTCTAGTTTCTTAGTGCTAGGTTTACAGGTGTGTGCCACCACACCCAACACAAAATATTATTGACTAGAGAACTGTGGGTCTACGGAGGGAAGTCAAGATAGGACAGGATAAGGCAAACTAGAAAGGACATGGGTGATGACAAGAGTGGGCAGGGGAACAGCTGAGTCGCAGGCCTGGGTGGTGTTGGGGACTGTGGGGCGGGCGGGGGGGAGCAGCGAGTCTGAAAGTGGAGCGGTGTCATGTGTTAAATGCAAACTTGGATGTGGGTGATGGCTGAGAGGAGCAGAGGTGAGGCTGTTGGGAATGGGACACCCAAGGAGGTGAATTTTACACAACTGACTAACACACATTTAAAGGTGTAGCTTAAGCTAGCCTTGAACTTGTGATTCTCTTGCCTCTGCCACTTCAGCATTTTCTGCTGGCATGCGCTATCACAATCAGCCAGTCAGAGAATTAGGAGGTCAGGGTCCAGCCAGGTCACCATCTGCGTGGTTAGTGATGTCACTGGGAGGATTGCAGAAGGAACAGGGTGGGGAAGTCTGCAATTTGGGAGCCAAAGTCTGTAATAAATGATGGGGCAGGACCTACAAGTCCAGTATATCACACAGTGAGTGAGTGGAGAGGGCCCCAGAAGAGAAGCAGGGTTAGACGCCAAGGTCTCCTCCTGGTGTCTGCATCAGAGTGGGAGGCGAATGGACTAGTGTCCCCAGGGAAACCAAGACCCAGAAGGACAAGCAGTGTGTCCTAACTCACAGACAATGGGCACAGACCCCGAATCTCACTCTCCACATCCTGAGGTCCCTGCTGATAGAGTCCCTCGTGAATTTCAGGGGGTGTGACTAAAAACTGATGCTGTCTTTTTTCGCACCATGGTTATTTGCCATGGCTGGAGAGAGTGGTTGGCCCACCTACAGTTTTTTTCTGTTGCTGCTCTTCCCAAGCCCTAGAGGAGAGGGAGCAAGCACAAAGAGAGAACAAATGGGAAGGGGCCCAGGGGACTGGCGATTGACAGCACAGATCCTACCAGCTGCCTTTATTGGGCTATAGCATGCTGTGACCCCTTAGCAGCCCCACGAGGCAGGCACAGCTCACCCCTGTTCAGACAAGGATGCTGAGGCTGCAGAGAACGAGGGAAGGGCAAGCTGAAGCCTCCACCTGGTAGCTCCCCTGTGGCCATGGGTGTCAGGGTGATGGGAGCCAAACAGATGGGTGCTAGGCTTCAGCCTGGCCAGAGGGAATGATGCCAAACCTGCAGACTGAGGCATAGCTTCTTGTCATTTCTCCAGCACAGGCTAGACCCTGACACAATGAGGCAGGACCTTCATATATATGTTAGGATGAGATAGGGACTCTTCTAAAGCAAAGGCAGGTCCAGGGGTCCCCTGAAGGCAGCAGATCTGAGCCTCGGTGGACCCAGAACCCTGTCTCCCTAACACAGCCTCACTCCTGGCATCCCTCTTCACCTCTGGTCAGTGTGCAGCACATCTCCACCATTGGCACCAGCAGCCTGGGACCAGCAGTACATACAAGTATGAATGAGAAGTGTGAATGGTCTTACCAGGAAGGGACACCAGGCATAATGAGGTCACTCCCAGCTGTGGAGGTGGAGGGAGCAGCAGAGTGAGTTAGCTGCCGGTGGGCAAGGAGCCTTACAATGGCAATGTCTTGTGTTTATTTTTTTAATTAAAATAATTATTTGATGTGTCTGAAAATTTTGCCTGCACATAATTATGCACCACATGGGCGCAGTGCTGGGAGCCAGAAGAAGGCGTCAGATCCCCAGGAACTGGAGTCATAGGGGTGTGAGCTGCCGTGTGGGTGCTGGGAACTGAACCCAGGCCCTCTGCAAGAGCAGGAAGTGCTCTCAAGTGCTGA